AAGACAGCAGTAAGAAGGAGCCAAAGAGTAGCAGTAGAATAAGAAAGGCTGTAGAAAGAGTATCAGGCCTTATATCATTATAGGCCTACTATAATTTATAGCGGCTGCAACCTTGCCATGTAGTTGTAGTAAACTCAAATTAAAGAGTATTCATCAAATTTGACTCGTTTTACAGGAGCTATGCATTGCAAAGCTTGCACATTATGTATTGCAACTACGCGGCATACTGAACACATTGCTCAATGCCCCCCCCCCCCCCCCAACAAAACAAAAACTAAACCACACGCACACGTGACATAAAACTAAAACAACAAAGAAGCAGACAAACCACAAATAAATAAATGAAAATGGTTATTTCTCCCACTGACTGGCTGACACTGACACTGACAGTGACACTGACACTGACTGACACTGACTGACACTGACACTGACACTGGCACTGACAGTGACACTGACACTGACACTGGCACTGACAGTGACACTGACACTGACACTGACTGACACTGACACTGACTGACACTGACACTGACACTGACACTGACTGACACTGACTGACACTGACACTGACTGACACTGACACTGACTGACACTGACACTGACTAACACTGACACTGACTAACACTGACACTGACACTGACACTGACACTGACACTGGCACTGACACTGACACTGACACTGACTGACACTGACACTGACTGACACTGACACTGACTGACACTGACACTGACACTGGCACTGACACTGACAGTGACACTGACACTGACACTGGCACTGACACTGACACTGACACTGACTGACACTGACTGACACTGACACTGACACTGACACTGACACTGACTGACACTGACACTGACTGACACTGACTGACACTGACTGACACTGACACTGACACTGACACTGACACAAGTTAGATCATTGAAAGTAATAAAAGTCATTTTCCTGTAGTTTTAGGAGGCGGGTTATCCTGACCCTGCCATTCATTGGGCCAACCCCGAGTCGAGCGGGGCTGCTGTTTTTGTTGGGGGTTTTTCTGTTTTGCTTTGTTCTTTTGTTAAGATTAAGTTTCTTACAGCACTCGCAACTGCATAATCATGCCATATTATGAGGGCACGGGACACATTTTAAACTTAAACAACATTTTAAGTAGGTAGGAAATTTTGAATTTTGCCCGGTTAGCGACCGAAGTCTACGCTTATCAATTTTGGACCACCTAGGGTTCTTTTACGTGCGCAACTTGCACACGGGACCTCCGAGATTTTTCGCCCTTGTCCGAGGAGGCTAGGCGTAGATCTTACCTACCAGAAGATCAGGGGTGTGGCTGAAAGACAGCAGTAAGAAGGAGCCAAGGAGTAGCAGTAGAAAGAGCCAGGAGCCCGGAGGAGGGGGCAAAGGTGGTGAGGGGGTGGGGGCAGAAAGTGGAGACGAAAACAGACGACAAAACATTGCTACATGTAGTAGACAGCAGGAAAAGATGTGAAAGGAGAAAAATTTAAATAGTCTTTTGTTCACTTGTTTTATGCAGGAGAGAAGTGTGGACACGCCAGTAGAGTTTGTTGAGCAGGAAAAGATGTGAAAGGGGACAATTTTAGAGAAGAAAATTTTTCGTCGCTACCCGGATTGGAACCTGGAACCTTTGAATTTGAATGAAAGGCGAACACCTGAACCTCTTGGCCACGAGAGCCCCCTGACTCGCTTTAGTGGAACTATGTATTGCAAAGCTCGCGCAGTATGTATTGTAGTTAGTCACGTGGCCCACTGAACTCATTACACAATGCCCCCCCCCCCCTTTTTTTCCCCCCTCCATAGAAAAAAAAAAAGAAGAAACAAAGACAGACTACACACATAAAATAAAAGCGGTTATTTATAATATTATTAGGCATGTAGATCTATTGCACGCACTGACTGAGTTGACTGACTGACAGAAGTCAGATCATAAATTTGGCATTTAGTTTTTTTAGGAGCCCCTGCCATTGGGCCAACCCGGGTTGAGCGGGACTGCTGTTTTCTTTCTTCTCTTTTTTTTGTGTTTTATCGCGCTCGCAACTGCATTCATGTCATATGCTGAGTGTGCGGGACACATATTTTAAGTCATTTAAGCATTTTTAGATGGTAGTCATTGGTAGGAAATTTTGAATTTTGCCCGGGTAGCGGCCGAAGTCTACTCATCCATTTTGGACCACCTAGGGATCTTTAACTTTAACGAGCGCAAACTTGCACACGGGACCTTCGAGACTTTTCACCCTTGTCTGAGAAGTTAAATTTTTGTTTAGTACGTTTTTTTCGGCGCTCGCAACTGCATGCGGTCATATGAGCGCCAGAAGATTAGAGGTGTTACAAGAGAGTAACAAACATTAAAAAAGGATGAAGGGGAGATAACGACGATAGATGTTTGATAGGAAAGAAGAAGCAAACCACACCAGAGCACCCACCAACCACCCACTGTCTGAGAAGGTTGGAGGTTATTGTTATACATGTACATGTATCTTGCCTACCATAATATCAGGGGTGTGGCAGAAAGACAGCAGTAAGGACCCAAGGAGAGTAGGACTAGTACTAGTAGTCATCATCATTGCCTTTCTCACCCTGCACCAGGGTATAGGCCACGGACAAACACCCCCCACTTTTCTCTATCCTGGGCGAGCCTCTTGATGTTATTCCATGTCTTCCCACTTTTCTGTACATCGATTTCTGTGATTCTTCTCCAAGTTCCACGAGGTCTTCCCCTTGATCTCTTGCCCTGTGGGTTCCAATCCAAAACTTTCTTTGTTATGCAGCTGCCTGACTTCCTGAGAGTATGTCCAATCCATCGCCACCGCCTTCTTCCTACCTCATCTCTGACTGGGATCTGTCTCGTTTTCCTTAACACTTCCACATTGGTGACCCTGTCTGTCCATCTGATCCTCAGTAACTTTCTTAGACACCTGTTCAAGAAAACCTGGATTCTCTTTATATACAAGTCTGCGATGCGTTCCATGCCTCACATCCATACAACAGGACCGACTTCACGTTTGAATTGAAAATCCTCAGCTTTGTTCGAAGTCGAAGTGAGGTCTCTCTGGTAGAACTAGTAGTGAGGTTGCAGAAAGAGTCAGGAGCCAAGGAGGTGAGGGGGGTGGAGGCAGACAGGTTTCCGTTAAGGAAGGTTTTACTGTGTATGTGTAGTACTCAAGCAGTACACATAATGTAAATTTCTTTGTCTCCAGCTCATCTTGTGTCTTCTCTCCGAGCTCTTTTCATCATTTGTCAACAACAATGACTACTTTTGGCGTTGTGCAAAACTACGCCTTCTAGTCTTACTTTTACCACCACCCAGCCATCTCACAGGCCTAGACCAACCTCTTCTACAGTACAGTATGTCTTTGAGAAGATACTGGCAGAGGAACAAATGTCTCCCTTTCAATTTTTACCAGTCATCTGAAATATAATTCGCCTCTACTTCTCTCACACAAATTTTATCACAACCTCAGAATTACAAAGTTCTATGTGACACTTTTGGCCGTTTTGAGTTACTAAGACTAAGAAAAAAACCACGAGGTCTATCTGCTCAATCAAAATTATCAAATATTATTCAGTGGTTATCAGAAATTAAAAGAATCGCATTTTAAAAAAAGGTTGACATGTGAAATTTAAAAATTGTATAACTTCAAATTGTTCAAAACCAAGTAGCCTACATGTACTGAGCAGACAACAAAACTTTGTAATTTGAGGTAGCGAAATGTCATCAGAATCAGAGTGCTCTGTAATATAGCTAGCACTGTTGTTTGTGTCAAGCATGACTATAGAGGGGATGGCCCCTGGTTTGAATCCTAGACTGGGCATTCCTGAACTAGGGTCATTCTGTGGAGCTTTCAAGGCTCTCAATACTATCAGACAGGGCAAGAGATCAAGGGGAAGACCTCGTGGAACTTGGAGAAGAATCACAGACATCGATGTACAGAAAAGTGGGAAGACATGGAATAACATCAAGAGGTTAGCCCAGGATAGAGAAAAGTGGAGGGTGTTTGTCCGTGGCCTATACCCTGATGCAGGGTGAGAAAGGCAATGATGATGATGAATACTATCAGAGACGGGAGTTACATTCAGAGGTAGGCCTACCAATTTTTCTAAATAATCTTAGTGTTGATAGGGATGTTGAACCCATACATTTTACTATTACGTCAGAATCCATTCTACTTTTAATAGCTTCTCTTCACTGTCCAGTGTCAATAAACTCGTCAGAACACCTCTCAGCAAAGCAGCATCTCTTTGTCAGTGTTGGTACCATACAAAGCAACTGATGTGCACTTGGATGGGTGCAACTATAGACTATTATAATGTCAAGATTTTATCTCAGAGTGCCCACCCTCTGTTATATTTGTAGGGGGGGGGGAAAGACCCCTGTATTAATGTAATGCTTTTTCCGAGGTAGACTTATCCTCCATCACCTTCAACAAGCTGGGTATTCCTGAGTGCTTATTTTTATTTTGTTATAGCAAGGTTTTACGGGGCTCGCAACTGCATAAGTTCATACGAGCGCCGAGGGGTGGATGTCAACAGAGAAGTCCTTACAGGGAATCAGACTTACTCTGCTCACCTCTCTAGCTTCAACAGCACAAGGTCTGCTTCGACTATCAAGTCAAGGCACCTCGGAAATAGAGGGTCACAACAGTGTGACAAACAACATACAAAAGAAGTAGAGGAAAATAACGATAGTATTAATACTAAGGATTAGGAAAGAAAAAGCAGCAGTTCCCTGTTGTAGTTCAGGCACAGTATGAGCATGACATTTTTGGATCAGCTTATTTAATTTACAATTCTTCTGTGCATTAGAACGAGAAATGTCCACCCATTGGAAATGGCCTTAAGACACTTAAGTCAGTAGCATCACCCCTCAGTGCGGGCAGCCAAGGACTAATATTGCGTTAAAAAGAATCCTTATGTGTGGTTGGAAATGTCTTTAAATCAAACAACACAAACCCCTGACATTACGAGCACAAAAATAACAGAAACAAGGTCAACGTATACTTGAAGGACTGTTTATTCATTGTCAACGTTCAAAGTCTGTTTGCCTGAAAAAAAAAAGAAAAAAAAAGGAAACATGAGTCAAGCAAAATTCGTCTTAAACATTACAAAAATAAAACCAACTAATTTAGTTCATCTTTTCAATACAATGGCAATGACATAGAGGACTCAGTGGGCCCCAGTAGTGGAAAAAGGGGATCATTATATTTTGGGGGCATTTTTTATTTGTATGTTGCATGTATACATTTTCCTTACTTCTGCGTTGAAACTGAAACACGCATAACATGAAAGGTGTGTGAACAAACAACAAAACAAAATTTTCACTAACAATAACAACTAAAAAAAAGTGTTCAGAAATACAGCAATAGGCTACATTCTACCTACAAGTTTATTAAACTCATTCTACACCACGCTCGAAGTGCTTTGGGGGATCAATAAACAGGGTTTGCTTTTTTCTGAAACCCTTCAGTTTTGAAATTCCTCTGATTTCCCTTATTATTACTAGTAATACCCGATGTGTTTGAGGGCTGATTATTGCAGGATAATAACTGTCCTTTAAAGTCAATTGAGTTACACCCATTGATAAATGAATAAAACCCAGATTTCCCCCAGTCCGCCCAAAACAAATTTGGCATGATGACAAACTACAAAATCTGGTGGACCAACATCATGTCAATAGATCAGGTCAGATCTAGAATTTTTCTAGTGCTGAAGAAGATGACAGCAGCGTTGACCCAAGTTATGTAGAAGGTTCAGAGTATAGTAGCAGCTAGTGGCAGAGATTAATATAATTTTTTTTTAAACATATCTAAGTTACCCCCTTAACTCCTTAAGTTCATGCGCGCTTTCTTCTCTGTAAGACAAGCCCACATCTACTACTGAAACCACAGTGAGAAAATGAAAGGTAGCCCTTGTGAATTAGTTCAAAACAAGGTGTAGATTTACTGAAAGTTTTTTTAAAGTGAGAAAATACACCCCACACCCCAAAACAATTTCCAAGAATTTCCTAGAACATAGGGTACAGTCGCAGCACAGCCTGTGACAATCTCATTTTATTATTATAGTAGAAGGTTTTATGGCGCTTGCAACTGCATAAGGTCATATGAGCGCCACGGGTTGGGTGTCAACAGAGAAGTCTTTACAGGGAATCAGACTTAATCTGCTCACCTCTCTAGGTCTGCTTCGACTGTCAACAAACATACAAAAGAAGTAGAGGTAAATGACAATAGTAAGGATTAGGAAAGAAAAAGCAGCAGTTCCCCGTTGTATATCAGGCACAGTCATGAGTGTGACATGAATCACCCCATTTACAATTTTATTGTGCTTGAACGAGAAATGTTCCCCCTGTGGGAATGGCCCAAAGACACTACAGCTAGTGACAATCTCACCTTTGAAGTCCTCACAGGGAACGTGTGTAACCAGAGTGTAGAGCCTGTGGGTGGAGTCCTCATCCTCGTTACGCTTGCGGGCCAGACGCACGCGCAGGCGGTGGGGAACATGCCTGAGGGAGACAAACAACACATCCAACCGTCACACGAGGAATGACAAGATGAGCAAGTGTGCACACTTTGAACAGGGATGCCACTCAACTTTTTTTTTTTTTTAAATAGCTGAAAATCCATGCGCCACAGTCTTGCTAACTATATGAATATCAATTTGAAACTCAACTATTTTTTATCCCCCCCAACTATAGTTTCTATCTCGATCTCAATAACGGAATAGCGGATCAGGATCAAAATACTGGAAATACCTAAAAAAAAAAATTTTTTAAACAGCGGAAAAGTGGCATCCCTGTTTGAAGCACTATCACTGCATCATTTGCTCACAGCACAAGTGGAATTTTCAAAAGATGAAAATTCACTTGAGCAAAAAAAATTGTTATCTTGAATTCTTGCTCTCCAACATCAATGTGCTGTAAATATTCACCTAAGGCACACACACACAAGGAGAGAGCAACAATAGGCAAAAATTATTTAAAAGTTTCCAACCCATTCTCATTCAATACATTTTTATCAACATTCTTATTCAATATATTTTTATCATTCAAATGCTGGAAGGCACACTGGATTCAAATTGAATTACTTCTGCTCAAATCAGTGTCAGCAATAAGCAGCAACAGGTTCACCCCCTTTTCTGCTGGTCCTGCAACGATGCACACAAAACAGCATGTTCCAGCACCCTCAATTCCCCGTGGGTACTGCATCAGCAAGGCGTCGCCTAGGTATGCCCGAGGAGTATACCGCGGGTCCTGGGTTTCCGCACCCTCCTAAGTGTGTGTGTGTGTCTACTTGTATTTGTGTGCGTTTCTGGCCTACTTCAAGAATCGTCTACCTTGTTTCAAAAGGCTTAGCGGTGGCAGCTCTAGACGTTCATCCGAAGAAATTGAAATCCGGTGCTTCGTAGGAGTTGAAAAGAAAATGGAATTTATTTATTGCTACTATTAAATTTGTCACCACACCACTGACAGTACGTAAATATGAGAACATCGATCTCGGTACAATAACTAAACCAGCACCCGTAATTTTTCTTCCATTTTCACATTGGTCACATGTCACAACCTCAGAGCACAACTTCCACTATCTTAAAAAAATATTTTAGCATCAATTTCTTACACCGTAGTCTTATGAGAGAGGGGGAATTCATGTGTTCGCAACACAAATTTATAGAAAGTTTTTGAGAGCTACAATAGATGGAGAGTGATATTTGTGGTAGATTCATTCAAACAGTTATCACAATGAAAATACTTATCTTTCCTTGACCTTCTAAGGTACACCGGGTAACTGCCGTGACCCCAGTGCCCCGCGGAGAACGCTGGTCGCGCAGGGAAGTGGGTCATTGATCGATGAGAGTCACTTCCATTGATGCTCTTGGTGTGGGCTTAAAAGTCACTGAACACACTTTAGCTGTCCAAAGTATCTGGTACCGTTATACCTTTATTCCCCACCCCCACCATGTGTGCATTCCAAAAATAACACCCCTCACCACTCACCAAAAGAAATTTTAACATTGCAGGAAACAAGCAATTTCATTGGGAGTATCACTGCCACTGCTTACCAAGGCAACTGATGTCCCACAGCAAAGAAGAAAACTAGGCAGCAATGCCAGGCCCCTACAAAGCACTGTACAAAAAAAATCCACTGAAAAGTCTATGAAATACCAGTACTAATGAAAAGATAGTAAGAGGACAAAGTACCTGATTCCCTGAGACCAGATGTGCTTGTTCAGTCTGGTGTCAACACGCACATCAGGGGTGCCCATCATCTTCTCAGCAAACTTGCGAATTTCTTTGATGGCACGGGGAGCCTTCTGTTTGAAGCCACTGAAAACAAAACAAAAACAACATTATACAGCTAATTCATGTCAGTGTCCATGTACAAATCATAGCTGCCACTCAGAAATTTTTAAAAAGGAGGAAATTCACGCGAAAGCGTACGCGCGCTCTCCGAAACCAGTGAGATCCAGAGGCAATATATACTGGAAAATCTAGCCTACGGTTTTGGAAGGGAAAACTGTCATATTGTTAACCATAGGCGACTGAATTAAAATGTATTTGAAAAAAACAACAACAACAAAAAACAACATAAAGGCAGTAAGTTGACTAACAAGCATTCGAGTCAATTTGACACAGTTTGGACTTGGTGACTAAAAATCTAGTGTTTTTTGCCAGCTGGTGTCTCATAAAAAGATTTCTTTCACTTTAAACGTGTACATACATAGACGTAGAGCAGTATCGGATCAAGGATACACAGGCACTCCTGTACAATTGCAGTCCCGTTTGCACTTAGTGCCCCTGTAGTGTGTTTCTTATTTAGAGATAAACTGAATTAAAATTATAGCCTAGGCTATCTTATCTAGATCTAGATATATCTAAATATGTGTATCTATATCTAGAGATATATTTTCTAGATCTAAATCTAGATCAAGATTCACTTCCGCAGCAGCCACAATAGCCGTCATGTAAACAAACGGGACCGCAATTGTACAGGACTGTAACAGGAGTGCCGCGGGCCGTGATTTCTTTCGCAAAAAACAGCTAGTTCAATTTTCTAATGAACTTTTCAAGTCGCACATCGGCTGCTTCTTTCTCATTCCAGCTCCTTTTATTTTTGCATTCTGAATCAATTTCTCTCGAATTTCCACCAATTTCAATGACAACTCGGCGCGCTAACGTCCCGATGCCCGATCGACACTGTGTTGCTCCACAACAATAAACAATGTGAAACTAGCGCTGGGCCTAGAAGAACGGAAGTAGAAAGCTACGGGCGGACATGCGCAGACCGCGTTTTCGTCTCTCTCCCGGTTCGGTGTTTTCCGCGTGGGGAAAAAAGTACGAAATTTGCGACCAAGAGCGGTCCAGCGGAGGAAGGAGGAAAGTTGCGGGGAAAGCTAGATGTAGCGGAGTTTCCGCTATTTAGCGGGAAAGTGGCAGCTATGACAAATAAAAAATGTATCATGCAGATCGTTGTTGTCCCAGGAAAAATGAGTCAATCCAGTGTTCTTTGTTGACGCTCAAAAGCAAACTCAACTATCAACAGAGACAATGAAATATATGTATGGCACTTCTCAATGTCAAATATACAAAAACTTAGCAATGCCAATGAAAATTTTAAATTTTCACTTTAGCACTTTTTTTTGGGGTACCTAAGAAAGAATTTTCAATTCTAAGAATTATGCTTCTTGAATTTTGAGAATCGGTTCATAAATAAAAAAAGTTATGGGGTTGTAAAGGTCGGCAAAATATGGATGACCCACATATACGAAAATACTCCTAAAATGTGGACCACGCAGTAGCAGATTCTGTAAGAAAATCGACGATATCTCGGTAACTAATCGGAGTGTTCGAGAGAAACTTGACCACCCGATGTGTTTTTGAGTGTAGAAATCATTTCTGCAGTCAGATTTACTACCAATTTCGTAGTTATTTTGTTATAATTAAAATTGTGGTGTACATATTACGATTTTGCGGAAAAGGAGTGTCGGGATGAGTCCATTTTATTTATAGCATCGTATCACAACATGGGATCTTTAAGAATATATGTCGGCAGCGTGACTAAATAATTGCAAAGCTTTTTATGACGACTTTAGACTTTAGACCATGCCAACCGTAAAAGATAAGTTAATTCAATCTAGCATGCCGTACAATTAAAAATTATTTTTCCCCGTGGAGACGAGATAACCTCGCCTCGGAATACCCCCATTGCGGTGTAACAGGGGGATAGAGAGAAAAACAACCGGATGCGCGCGCCCGCCATTGCCCTATTTCAAGTGACCAATGAACGGGCCCGGAATAGTCATGCGGGGATTTGTAGGTCACATACATTTGCCACGAGAGTGAAGTGAAAATGGCCGGTCTCCGTGCGAAGCCGCTTTGGATAGGGGGGTAGTCGTGCATTTATGATCGGGTCTAAACAACTACTTGACACAGAACGTTCAAATTTGAGCACACTATAGAGTTAGATAGATCTATTACCATCTCGGCGTTGAAATTCAAACTCCTTATAGTTTTCGGTGTACACAATACGAAAGTGTTCCCCACACCAAAAGTATAGGTTAATTTATGTGTACGAACTTCAACGTCCACATATCATTAGTTTGCCCTATTTTCTGATTGGTTGCCGAGTTTCATTCGGATTGGTTCGGATATAGAGCAGACCGAGGTTGACAAAGTTAGTCACCTACGCTTCGGCCGGGTCCGCAAAATCGCCCGTAAACGGGGACCAAATTTTCGCCGCGCAGGAAAGCCCGATTGGCATTGCTAAAAAATTCCCATGAGTAAACGTCATGTATGATTCAGCTGTCTTTCCCTGTATGAAGACTCACTAGAACAACTGTCAATTATGATACCAGACTATCCCCTATCCAATTCAAATACAGAAATTATCACCAGAAAAGATGCCATTCTTTCTGGGAATCTCTGCTGAAATAATACCGGCGCACAGGCCCTATAATATATAAAGGGCATGAGCCAGGCTACCTGGGAAGCGTGCAGGCCCTATATAAAGGGCATAGACCCTGACCTTTATCAATGGAAAATTTTAGTATTCCTTATATGAAAAATGATGTAGGTCAAATTAAAAATAGTGACCAATGACTGCCAAGATATCGATCGATAAAGTGACGAGGTCCAGCAGAGCGACTATGTGTTATCACTTGTTCCGCTGTGGTAAATGAATAATTGTTGAGTTCATCGCATTTTGTTCTTTGTATTTATTTGATTGCTTATCATTTTTAAATGGCTCATTCTATCATCTTTAAGAAAAGATATGGTTTTATCATCTGTTGAGCCCTAAATGGTCATTTTTCAGTTGCAGGTATACATCTCTGGTATCTCAGCTGATATCCCCCCGCCGAACCCCGATAGTTACAACCGATCGGCCCAGGCGGCAGGACATTTTTGGCGGGTTACTTCTCGCAAAGGTTTTTTAAAAAGTACAAACGTAGAGATAATAGTAAGAAAGTCCTACGAAAAGTGTTTGTTCACGGCCTAGATACACACCCTGACCCAGGGTGAGAAAGGCAATGATGATGATGAAGTCCTGCGAGTCCATAGAAACATTGCAACTTACATGCCATGGATTTTTTTGTGCATGTGGATTGTGCACTCCTTGGTGATGACCTCATTGGTCACAGCCTTCTTTTTCTCACGCTGCTTGCGAGGAGGAGCCATTGCAATCCCTGAGGGAAGGATCAGAAAAAATAATCACTTTCATCATCAAACAAATTCAGGCCTATTTTAGGTTATTTGAAATTCTAAATCTAATCTAGATAATCTAGATCTAGATCTAGATTCTAGATCTATGTAATAACATCACAAAAACATGACAAATGGACTTTAGGATAAAGCCCTATGTCTGTTTACTAGCGCGTTGATTCTTAATCTCGGATCAGAATAGAGATCATCTAGATGATTTTAAATCTAGAGTCTAGTCTAGATCTAGATCTAGATCATAAAGAAAAAAACGTAGGGCCTATGTGAATATCCATATTCCTTGACCACACTCTCAAAATCAATTTATACAGGTCTAAATCTATCACAAACAACCATTGACTAGACTGTCCAGCATGAGAAAAGGGAAAAAGGGAGCAAAATCCAGAGAACAAACCCCCTCATTCACATTGGTCCTTACACATTCAGTGATAACCTACACCTCTGTCCAGTCCATAATTTAGATTTAAAAACTTTTTGTTGCAGCCAAGGCCACTCCTTAAATATACCAAATAACATACTAAACTGCTTAGACTTTAGACGAAAGAAGGGACACGAATAGGTGTTGGAATGAACAGAAAAGTTGTTAATAATTTCTCGCTGTTGAAGCAGTCAACAGAATCTTGTACGAGGGAAAGGGTGCAACCGGTTCAACAACATAAGAGACAAGGGACAATGTGAGTGGGTATTTCAAATTGTTATATGCATTGAACAAAAGTTGCTGGCTAAAATCAACACGGTTGGGAAAGGATAATTGCTTTTAACGATCAAGATTACGGGGATTTTGGAAAGTGCCTTTATTTTTCTTACTTACTTCAGCTACGACAATAATCAAAAAGGAAGTTGCTATGGACTTCCGGTGTAAGGTTAGAACATCCCTACGAAAGACTACTCTTAAAAATAAGACAGACTAGAAACTGTTTGATTGCGTCCCTTTGTATACAAACAAAAGCGGTTTGGTCCAGGCCACAGAATTCTACTCTTGTGGTGTAGAAGTGTAGAATTCCGTGGTCCAGGCCTATAATATAGAAGCGAGAAACTTGTTTTCCGAAAAGCAAGAGAGGGTGAGAGAAATATGGAGGAGAGAGAAAGATTGTGGAGAGAGAGAAATACCGAGGAAAAAGAGAGAGGGAAGGGGCAAGTGTGTCTGGGTGATTGTTTGTGTGAAAAGAGAGATGAGAGAGACATTAAGGACAGAGAGAGAGAGAAATAATTAGAGAGAGAGAAAGAGAAAGACAGAGAGAGAGCGAGAGAGAGAGAGAGAGAGAGAGAGAGAGAGAGAGAGAGAGAGAGAGAGAGAGAAGGGGGGGGTAGACTTAAACAAAGCGACAGAGAGACTGAGAGCAGTGTGGGCCTAGGGAGACAGGGTCGGCTAATCAAAGTGAGACAATTATAAGGGACCAGATAGAGATGAAGTCACGCAGGAATTAAACTTTCCCACGAAACGAATATACAGTCGAACCTGCCCTGACGGCCACTTCTATAAGATGCCCGTCCAACGCGGCCGCGGCCACCATATTTCAACACACAACCCCTATCACACAAAGCAATGTCTTAGGCGGCCACCTTAGAGACTCCATTACGCTTTGTCATAAATCAACAATTGGGCCCTGGCGTTGTGGGCGGGCCGTCATAATCTAAAAACCTGTCGTTGTTAGGTAGTCCCTCCAACTGATCATGTTGCGTAGGCCCCTCCCACTGTTGACCAATAGGTAACAAAATTAATTTTCAGCTGCTGGGGAGGGAAGCGTGTGATCCCTCATAACCCATAAGCCCCGCCCAGAACCCATACACAAATCGCAAGTGAGATGAGTGGTCACTGTTTACCCAGTCTGTAACAAAGTAACAATGGACGTCAACATGAACTTGTGACAGAAGCGTTGCTTGTTCTCCGAGTGGTAGTACGTGTGTTTGTTTTAGCATAGCACTTGGTCCTCCTTGTCTGACACATTTCGTTTTATTGTCACCCGTGCACAAAAGCAGCAACAAAAGAAAAGAAAACCCAGCGAAAACAACAACAACAATCAACAATGCAACGACCTTCGGTTGGGACCTCAGAAAGGGAGGGTTTGTTTTCTCAGAAAGGAATGGTTTGTTTTCTTCATCTGGATCAGTCCTGTCTAAGACGACCACCTGTCTTATACGGCCACTTTTCTCCTTGACAATGGGTGGCCGTCTTACACAGGTTCGACTGTAATTAACAAAACTTTTTAACGGGAGGCGGCATCACTGAATGAGTTGAGAATGAAAACAAATCATGAATTCAAATTGAATGTAATTCACCTGACAAAACAATCGAAAAATGTATAATTAACCATTAGATAGCCCACTTTTGAGCAGAATATATAACTTTTAAACGAGATCGAGGGGGGAATAATGGTCTCAGTGTTGTTGGGTTTATTTATTTGTTTGTTGTTTTTTTGTTTTTTGTTGTGTTTTTTTTTAACAGTAAATTGTTACTTAAGGTGTGAATACACAAACAGGAGTTAAAGAAGCCGAGATGACAATGCTACAAATGCATCACCAATTTGGTTCCAAATTTGGCTGTCTCTATCTTGCCTTTTACGGCCAGGATCGACACATATAACTCCATGCCGTGACCTGAGATATGGAGCCGTCAAACGTCGAAAGGGGTGGGGGGGGGGGGACAAGTACTCACCCAGCCTTGAGATTAGGAGTTGTTCTCCTTGAAGGCAAACAGCATCAGATATTCTGGCTGGAGAGCCAGAGGAAGACCAAGAGTACGACACTGGAGCAAGTCTGAGTCAGACGTACCCTCAGAGCTCACGGGATGTCCCTCCTACAGGCCACTCGCCTTGCTGCAGACAGACGCCTGTTTCTCCTTCCTTACGGCACCCACCGGTACAAGGGAAGAAAAAAAGTTAAGATAAGTTGTCTTCGAACAAAGCTGAGGATTTTCAATTCAGAAGTGAAGTCAGGCCTGTTTTATGAATGTGAGACATGTAACGCATCACAGACTTGCATAAGAGGATCCATATTTTCTTGAACAAGTGTCTAAGAAAGTTACTGAGGATCAGATGGACCGACAGGGTCACCCAACGAGGAAGTGTTAAGGAAAACAAGACAGATCCCAGTCAGAGATGAGGTAGGGAGAAGGCGGTGGTGATGGATTGGACATACTCTTGGGAAGTCAGGCAGCTGCATAACAAAGAAAGTTTTGGATTGGAATCCACAGGGTAAGAGTAAGAGATCAGGGGGAAAACCGTGTGGAACCTGGAGAAGAATCACAGAAATTGATGCAGGCCTACAGAAAAAGTGGGAAGACATGGAATAACTTCAAGAGGCTATAGATAGCCCAGCATAGAGAAAGGTGGAAAGTGTTTGTCCGTGGCCTCCTGGACACCCGAAGGACATCGCAAGAGGAGAAGACCCAAATATGTGACCCGGAGACGAACAGTAGCGTCTGAAATGAAGTCATGGGACCATTCACGGGGGACGTTGACCAAGATGGCCCAAAACAGACAGATTCAGATCCTTTAAAATTGTTGATGCCCTAAACGCCAGTAAATTAGTACATATACCCTGGTGCAGGGTGAAAAAGGCAATGGTGATGAAGTTTTCCCTCCCTTTTTAGGGAGACTCTACCAGTCTAATTGGTAACCTAATATAGTCAATATGCTTTGTAACGGAAAGGGGTGAACAGGATATCGCTGTGTGGCAATGAACTGTTTCAAGTATTGTGCACACTGTTCAAATTTAAATTGAATGTACATTTATTTAAATTTAAAAATCATACGTCTATGGATGAAGTTCACGATGACTGTGTTTCTCAAATTGCAGAAGGGAAGCAGTGATCATTTGATAATGTAGACACTTTGCTCCTGTGTAAGGGGAGGGGGGGGGGTGAATGAGAGGGAGATATATAGTAGATAGATAGATAGACAGACAGACAGAGAGAGAGAGAGAGAGAGAGAGAGAGAGAGAGAGAGAGAGAGAGAGAGAGAGAGAGAGAGAAAGAGAGAGGGGGGGGCGTTAATGTTGTTTGTATCCCAGATGCTTCGTTTTTCAATGCAATTAATTCAATGATTAGTCAGACAAGGTATATTTATAGACTTATACAAATTTTACACGTTTCATTATTTAGGCTACGTGTAGATTCCCTTTTGAATTCTGCTACATGTAATTTGTACTGTGGGGATCCAAAACAACTTTTTCAGTATTGGGTGGGATCCACCTATTAAGACTTTACTTTAGAATTTATTCACGACAACATTAGTAGGATCTAAATTTTGAGGTTGAACGGCTAATTTTACTCCGTCAGCAAGGGAAGTCACTCCTGTTCAAGTTTTCTTTCCGGTGTTTGCTGTACTGGCTGTGCCTGCTGTTCGGCTTTCAAAATGAATTCGTTCACATCACGATTAAATTCCCTGTTTGCTTTCACACTAAGTGTGATGGCAGCATTAACTTTTGGATGCTTTCTTACTACAGTTTTCAATGATAACTTGAGACCTGTCGAACTGAGTGTTGGAAAAGTGTCTGTGTAAGTAACGGTTACCATGCCATATTGCCATCTTGTTGCTACTGAACAAGTTGAGTGGGAAGGCTGACGTGTTCCTAAACCCTAACCCTCGTCATTACTTTCACTGTCCATAGGATAGGCCTGTTCAAAGTATGAATTGAAATTTGTATATTACTGTCAATTATTTGTGATACATGTATGGATACCTAAGTCTGAATCTAGATTAGTTCAGGTTCTTTGTTGATGAACTCGGAGGGGGTGGGGGGTGAGAAATTCCACTCCACCATGCCGTGACCGAATAAAAATGCCTTGATGATTGATATCTGACTGAATGTCCCATTCATGATCCGCCCTGGGGTGGATTGTACTTTACCAGACCACCCGTCTGGGCCCATGATTACTATGTGTGCCTGACAAGTGGTAGTTCCGCGGGCGATTTTTTGTAGAGAAAGGTGGTGGTTGAGGGTGGGTAGGGGATGGGGTAGTTAGGGGATTTAACTTTGATGGACCCACCGTGTATCCAAACAATTACAACACGAGGGGGGGGGGGTTCAGGGGGGCTTGCCCTGGGAACAATAATAAAAAAACAACCCACAATATGTATGCAAAAAAACAATAACGTGAGCGGACCATGACGCTAAGTGGACAATCGGGGTAATTAGAGTTGGAAGAGGCCAAGCCTTGCTTCGCAGCACTCGCAGAATCACAAGCAGGACCGAGGGGGTTGCAATTTTATGCAAATGAGCGCTCGTGCGCACAGGTCAAAGGGCACGGTGGCACTGTCGTGATGACTGAAAAACGCAGTAAAAGACGTCAATCGGTAGTTGGCAGTCGAAGGATCAAGACGTAGGAATATGAGTAGGAGAGTGAGTAGGGGAGCTCTGACTCTGAAAGGAAGAATAGCGGACCACTAGACACCAGGGGCGCCATAGTGAAAGTACTTCCGACCGTTGGTCTGGTAAAGTACAATCTTACCTTGCCCTGTTCCCTTTAACTAGCAATGACAATGAAAAATTAAATTTTCATCCAAATTGCTTAAAAATGGGCTTAAATGAAACTAGAGTAAATTCTAAGAACTATGGTTTTTAAATTTTAAAAATCCATTGATAAATAAAAAAGTTATTGGGATTTTTGTTTGCAAAATGTTGGAGGACCTTCATATAGGAAAAAATCGCCAAAATGTGGGACATGTTTTGATGTATTTTGAGGAAAAACTGTTCATACAAGTCAGTAATGAATTGGAGCATATGAATGAAACTTGGCATCTCCATGTGATTTTTAGTGCCGAATCTAGTTCTGCTATCACTTTTTCGTTGTCTTCATTACTTTGGATCTTAAAGATTGATATTTGCGTGAAATTTGTTGAATTGCGTGACATCGTTTTTACCGCGACGCGATCACCCCTTCTAAAACTCAGTAAAGCGCTATCGGGAAAACCCGCGATGTAGTCATCGGTGACTCATTTGGTTATAGGCAGCCAATCACATGCCACCTAGCGATCACGCGCCTCTTGCATGCCGGCACCTCGCGTTTGGAATGCGCGATTAAGTTTCTAGATCAATGGGTGGGTGGTAATTTTAAGTTGGTACGGAAAATCTACCAAACGCAGAGATCTGAAATTTTACAGCAATAAAGAAGACATGTGGGGCGCTTGTGTGGTCGGCGATCAAACAGCAGCTCCGCTTAGTTTTCGAACCGCAGAGGAAATTCGCACAAACACGGCAATATCTCCGGTTCTAGTAATCGTTCGGGATTGTACGCTGGCATGTCGTTAGTTTAACCTTTCCTCTGGTTGGTTGCCGAGTTTCATTTATTTTCGTCCAGGAGTTTTCCCGTAACTATACTTAGAAGAGAGTCACTTCTGATTCCGAGCGGCCCAAAAAATACCCCTCGCGCGGAGGCCGATTTCCGGCCCAAGGCGCAGCGGGCGATTGGCATTGCTACTTTAACAGTAACTTATAAATATATATATATATTTATATATATACCAAATTAGAGGGCAAATTAGAGAGTGTGTCCCTACGCCAGGCTATCCTATTCTACCCAGAATGTTAATTTTGATGAATTAAAGTCTTGTCCATCTTGATGACTGAACAAATGCAAGAACAAATCATAATGTGTTATTAATTTGATAAGTAATTTTTCCAATGGCGATAATGGGAGTGTCCAGTCACCCATATGAACCACAGGAAAAGCCCTTACTGACTTTAATTGTACTGGTGCCATTTCCTTACATTGATTCAGAATTGCTGCGTTCAGTATTTATTTCAAACCAGGGTGTTCTTAATGAGTGATGATACTTTTGTTGACAAAGTACGATTTTCTCATGGTTTATGATAAAAATTGTATGAAAGTAGTCTCATAAACAAGCTCCTAGTACCCTTTGTTTATGAAATAGTATTGTTGAGTGGGACGGACTTCCATAACGAGCAACCACCCCAATAAACACAACATAGACGCGACCTAACCGTAACCCTGACCCAACCCCTACCCTTACCCCTAAACCAAACCCAAACCTACCCCAACCCCAAACCGTAATCCTCTTTTCTACTGTTTCGTAGTGGTCACTCTTTACAGAATTCCTCCCGTTGAGTGGATTTTAGTAATTTAAGCTATATTATACCTCTACGAAGTACTGGTAGCCGGTCATAATCTCTTTTAGAATTGGTGTGGGTGTATTCTCAGTATGCTTACTACTGCAACTATGATTTAGATAGACAATAATATAACATATCTTGTGAATCAAATTATAAGACCTTTCTGAAAGGCAGCGATTATTCATTGTGCCTGCCTGAGATTAATGCGCAGGCTGTTCTAGAAAGGCTCAAGTTGACTTCATCCCTGAGATGAGGTCAGTCACCTGTCACGATACCAGCTGATGAAATGTTTTTATTTAATCTTAAGTTGAACTGATCAATATGCAGCATATATAGTTTCAATGTAGCAGACGATGAAATAAACCTTTCTGGTGTTATTGTTATTGGGGGGTTTTCTTTTCTAGTCTATGTGCTTGGAGCTGAACTTCTTTTAGATTCTGACTATAGCATTGTCTGCGGTGTAAGCTCTCAAGTTACGTAATCTTTGCGGCTTTGTTTTTACTTTGTGATCATTTTTCCTCGTTTTATTTTCTTGTCCAGGAAAAACGTCCCTGACTACTCAGCTGACAGAGACAAGAGTGATCTTGGGTTCATCACCTTTGACTTGTTCACTGATATCCTTTGTATTATACCTTTGAGATTTAATCAGTAGTGTTAGTTTGATACACTGCTGAGTGGTTTCAATGAGAAAGCTGTCCCTGTGATTTAACGTCTTGTCATTTCATTGCTTTGTTAACTTTATCAATTTCAATATATAGAAAATTCATTCTCTTTGTATTTGGTTTCATTGATTTACTTTTAACTCTAATGTTGTCATTAGTATCAGCCTTTCTCCTGTAGCATTGACAAAATACAGTGTTGTGAGGTTCTCTAAGGTCTCCACATCTGTCTACTAAGAGTAAGAGAAGGTAGGAAACATTTGGTCTCACTAAAGTGTACATTTGTAAGAGAGCTCTTTCATTGTTCGTGTTTAGTACTAAGTAAACTTCTCTGCAGTTTAGACGAGTCTCTATTCAGAGGTTATGTAATACTTTTACCTTCAGAATTCAGGCTAATTTCAACCCATTTGTGTCAATGGTTTGTCTTTTTTTCCTGAACTTTTACTACATCTGAGCCCGATCTTCAACTGGAATGTGAAGCAGTTGTTCCTGTACCTCACTGCTGAATATGAGACCAAAGATCACGTGAGTGGCATGATTGATATTGCGTTTGTCTCTAACTGTTTGGTTGAAATGAATTGGGTGCGTATAATGTAAACTGAAAGTGGAAAGGGGGTTGGGATTTGACTAAGGGAGATGGTTTAGACACTTACCTATCGAAAAAGACGAGTTAAATTATCTGCAGGTCTGATCACTTTAAAATAAAATCGATATATCAATTACTAGCCTTTTATTTATTTTTTATTTCAGAATTTGTCTGTCATTTTTTAAAGTTTAAAATGTTGTCATTAATGGTATGAACGCTCTTTTATTTTTATTATGATAGTTATCTAACTCATTAGATTGTGTTCCTTTGGGATCTTGTTCTTTTGTTCCTTGTACAGCTTTCCTGTTTCACTTTGATCTGACTTTTTCTGCAAATGGAATAAAATGTGGGTGGTTAGCCAATGCTCTGGCGTGGCTTGCTCCTTCTTTTCTCTCAAACATCTATTGCCCTTATCTCTCCTTCTTTTCTTTGTTCGTTACTCTTGTAATTCATCTAATCTTTGTCACTTACGTGACGTAATTGTGTTGCAAGTGCCATAAAACTTTTCCCTAAAACTAAACTAACTGAAGAAATAAAGTAGGCTATACTTTGTCAATATGCATCACTTTTCCCCGAACTTTTAAGTTAATAGCATGTGCTTTAACGAAGACTGTACCGGTTCTGTAAAGGTCAAAATTTGTGCTCTCCTCACTGATCAGGTTTCATTGTAGGGAGAGGGGTGTGTTGTGGAATGGTTATTGACATAATTGAGCCAAGAATCGATTATATTACTCTTTTTTCCTCAAGATATAAAATAGTATTGGGTAAAGGTCCTGTATCATTTGTTTGAATACTTGTAAGTCTCCATTGTTTTTAGTTTTCGTGTTATTCCAAAACAGAGACATAGTCATAATTTTTGTGTTGTTAGGATAAAAATCTGAAGTGTGCTTACAAATTGAGTTACTTCTCGGATTCAAGCCCTATGGAAATAGATAAACACGCTTATGGGTGAAAGTTTTGCAGTTTATAAAAGTATGATATAATAAAAAGCACGCAAGACTCAATATATGGCCTCAATTGAAAATCTGCAAACTTGACCCTAGTGTAGATTTTTGGCTTATATCTCCACTTGTGGATTACGAGAAGTAACTCATTTTGTCAGCACACCTCGTATATACTGTCTCCTTTTCTGCACTTTCTATTTCAATGCACATCGTTATTTATTTATTTATTTATTTTTATATATTTTTGTTCTGCCTCAGACTCTGAACCAGGTGGTCTTGTGGGATAAGATCATCGAGAGGGGAGACAACACCATCCTGGACCTGAGGAAGGCCAACACCAAGTACTACTTCTGGGACTATGGCAATGGGCTCAAGTAAGTGTTCTTATCAATCAATATATCACAGTTACTAGCCGTTTCTATATTCTTTATTTTAAAATTTGTCTGCAATTTTTTATCTTAGCTATCTGGGTTGTTTTGGATGTCTTTCCAGGGCATAATTTTTGTAATTAAGTGGTGTTGAAAGTTAGTTGGTTTGGCAACAAGACTTGTGTCATTGTGAGTATGTGGGTTTGGGGGTTCGACGCTCAGCCCAGTCTGATGTTGTGTCCTTGGGAAAGGCACTTTAAACGAATTTTCCCCGTTTGGATCATTCGAATCGGAGGCGAATATCAAACTCTTACGTAAGCTTACAGTATTGCAAGTGGTATTAAACCTAGATAATTTAACACAATTTAAAAAAAATCATAATTTAGTGTTTTATTTTACAGTTTGCTTACTGGCATGTCATAACTCAGAATCTCAGTGGCTTCTGATCTTTTGACGAGTTCCAGTATAGAACAATAACAAGAAGATCTATTTCTTTTTAGGGCATTCAAATTTATGAATACCAGTATCTGTAGTGTTATATTTAGACCTTTTACTGTGTGTACCTGAAATGTTGTTGATGGCCTATGCTCCACTGGGAGTTAAAAAGGGCAAGAGAGAGACTGTTGTTTGCAGGAAACATTGGTTAGATACTCACGAGTATCTCTGTACACCTCATGGGATCATGTATTCCCGTCAGCCTGCATTTGCCCTGAGAGAAAAGATCGAAGCTAACGGTCACCTAAAAAATCTGAATTGTGTCACCAGAGGTGAAAAACTTATAATACACACACACACACTAAAAAACCCTCCTGAATATTGACTGTGGCCTTCAAAAACTTTTTGACCTGTTGATTTTGATTCAGTAAAATTTTACTTTTAATGTACCAATGGCTAATGCCTAGGGCCAACACGGATGCTTTCCACCGAAGGAAAGTTTTTAAAGCCCACTGACAGAAGCTTTTGGTTTATATTTATATATATATTATATATTCCTCAGAGGGAACCAGAATGTTACGTTGACACTCTCTTGGAATGTGATTCCAAACGCCGGCACCCTGCCCAAAGTTCGAGGCTTCGGCAGCCACAAAATTGTCTTCCCAGAACAGTATACTGCCGGCAGGTTTTAGCGACTCAGTTCCTGTGTTGACGTTTTAAAAATTCATTTACCATACCGTCTTGTTTTAGTTTAATTGTTGTATTTTCTTCTTTTCAACCGTTGTCATGGTTCAGGTGTTTTATTCCTTTTTCTGAATGAAATCAAATTTCTTAAATTTATTTGTTTTTATGTTTCAGTTTTCGAGATTGTCGTTTTGAGATGAATGTTTCGAGTGTTTGTGATGTTCAAGTATGAATGCGACGCAGAAAGTCTTGGTGATGGTTGTTAAGTTGTTGTAATTTTATTAATGTGTAATTGATTTTAAAAAGATGTTTTTCTTGATTCCAGTAACCACCTGGAAAGTTAGAATATAATGCTATTATTGTTATTAAATCTTTTTATGGGACATCATCATTTTATAGACTTCTTTCTCGTTTGTTTTCTGGTATGGTACTTTTGTGTGTTGTAAAACATGACTTTATAGAGAATTGTCTGAGTCTGAGTGTCGCTTTGATTGATTGAATGATGAGTGCAGGCCGCCAGATCGCGTTTATGTCAGGGGCAGTATGTGAAGCTCCGTGAGAAATGGCATAAATTGCTTGTTGTTTGAGTTTGAGTGGTTGAGGTTGTGTTTCTTACAAGACTTGAAAGAAATGGATTTTGGGCATTTCTTCACCATGATGTTTGTCAAATTTGTTTTTGATGGAATGAGAATTTTTTTTCTAAAAATTGAAAGCTTCGTGGCAGTGTTTGCTAGTTTTAAAGACTTGTTTGTTTCATTTATGATATCATTATTTGAGATGTTGGGTCTTTTTCTTTTGTTGTGGTAACTGAAAGCTTGAAGTAAGAAGCAGGTGAGTTACCAGATTTGTTGTTCACAATTTGTCTGTTGTAAGATTTACAATGTGCCCTTAAAAAAAAAAAAAGATTTGATGTGAATGTGAGACATTCAGTATAGGCTGTTCTGTATTTGTTTTTTAAAAATTTGTTTAAAATAAAAATGTAAATGTTATAATTTATTGCCTTGAAGTTTGTCCAGGGGGAAAAAGAATGTTGATTTACTGGTCTGGGTGTGGTTGTGGGGTTGCGGAGACTGACGATGCTATGAAATTCTTGATAACCAACTTATTTTTGTCGCAGAAATAAAACTTTGCAAGGTCATTATGTCTACATGTTCAAGTATGCTCCGTAGTTTGTCTTTATTTGTCATCTACTTTTATTTTTTCCTTTTTCTATATTTACGGCAGTAATAAGACCTATTTGTGTTGCAAGTACTGTAAAACTTTTACTAAAGATTTAAAAAGCTACACATATTTCCTTAATGTATATGTAATTACAAACACTGTCAATGAGTTGGTCAATGGAAATAAAGTACTTGAACCACATAGCAATTTATCTCTATCACCTCACAGTTTTGTCAGGTGTTTGGAAGGTGCTGTAGATCGCTCTCTACCTCTCTCTCTCCCACCTGTCTGTGCACTCTCTTCTGCTAGCTCTCACCCTGTCCCAACATAGCTTTAACTGGGTTAGGTGAGGGCTGTAGTTACACTCTAGCACGTACAGAGCGAACACGCACATAGTGAACAGATTTTCAGGTCTTGATTTTTTTTCTCATGCCTCTATGGTCACTTTTAAGGACAAGCGGGCTAACCCAAACTTCTGGGGTTTCCTGAAATCTTGACCTACTCTAAAAGGGGGCATTGCCCTACCTATAGGAAAAGTTTGGTTTCATTGGTGTGTATATATATTTGTTTGGTTATAGAGAAAACTCTCCTTGTATTTTACTTTTAAAGAAACTGAACAAGAATCCAAAAATTTAACTTTGATTTTCTCAAAACAGCATTTTTCGGGAGCCTCCTTGTGCTTAAAAGTAAAAGCGATCGTATGTCTATTTTTTTTGTATTTGAAACGCGTATGTAATGAAATTCGTGCATTATGAAAAATTTCGACTTCCCACTGATTTCGCTATGTGCGTGCTGAACTATTATGCTAATTTCCAAGTAAATTATGAAATGACTGTTTTGGACATTTCAGAGCCGGGAATCCCATTTCGACCCTGATCACATTCAGTGTGGTGCTCTGAGGAAGAAGAAGTAGAGATTCTGCTCCCTGCTCAATAGCCTTATCTTTGACAAGCTTTGTTGAGTTTTACTTTTATCCAGTCTAGTCACAAGTTATCTGCCCAAGAGAGCTTTTACTTTTATAGTTTAACTCTGGTCTCTGAGTGAGAGGTGGAAGTTGAGCATTTGTTCCGGAGTTTGCGTGGATGTGTGTACGTGATGTCAAGACCAACTCTCTCATCTCTCTGACGTTTCCTACGCAGCAGTTACTCTGTGCCTGCTCGTCTTTTCCTTGTAGTTTTTGATAGTATTAAGGACAGCATCAGTAATAATAAACTCCTTGAAATCATTTACGAAAAAGTGTGTGAGTGTGATGATTGACATGATATTTTCTGTTGCATTGTTGTTGTTGCTTTGAGCATGAGGAAAGTTCACAGCGTGGGTGGTTGGTGGGTGCTCTGGCGTGGTTTACTCTGTCTTTTCTGTCTAACGTCAATTTTCCACTATCTCTCCTCCTCCTTTTCTTTGTCATATTACTCTCTTGTAACACCTCTAATCTTTGTCCCTTATATATGACCAAACTGTATTGTAAGTGCTGTTAAACTCTTCCTATACCGGTAACTAAAACAAGCTTACAGTTAAAAGTAACGCAAAAAGTCTCATCTTGACCCAGCCAGTGTCTGTTGTGTAGCAGTAGTTAAGCTCTTTGCCTTTGCATGTGAAACACGGGGGTTTGATTCTCATGTGGAGGTTTCTATTTTAAATTGAGCATTCACGTCTTTCTGCTGAAATGCATGCTGAATCATGCTGTATCCCACTTGGCCAGGGTTGGCCTTTTTTGAGGCAGGATCGAAGCAGCCTTCATCAACACATTTTAGGTCATTTCAGATGGAAGACCTTTAACTTGACATACATATATAAACAAGGTCAAAAGGACTAAGCCTAGTGTAAATTTAAAATAAAATAAAAAAAAGTAATACAGTCCATGCCGGCTTTAAGCACGGTCGTCGGGAGAAAGCTTAAGCGTGCTTAAAGCCGAAGCGTGCTTGAGTGCGAAGTAGATATAATCCAGAGATTTTCATGTAGAAAATTTTGCGTGCTATTTCCCTTTGTTTATAAGTAAGCCTATAGCGGTCCCGCAAAAGTGTGCACTGTTATTTAGACTTGGACACCCGCCATTGTAGTTTTTGTTCGCTTGTTTGTGTTTGTTTTGTGGTCGAATGGGAAATGAAAACTTAATTTAGACGGCCAGTCACGATACAGCACACTAGGCCTACACACTGCCTGTGCGTACCACTTCCCGCTGTGCCACTCATACCACCGCCGCCTTCATCCCACCTCGCGCGTGATACACAATCAGGATTAATGGATAGCGAGGGTCAAAGGTGAAATCGCAGCCAGCCTCCCTTTCTTGCCTCCCCGACTCTCTTTGTATTTTGTTTTGGTAGCTTTGCCTAGGCTAGATCCTATGTCCACGCGCGCGGCTGTGTGCATCTCTCTGCCTTCCTCTCCGCCTGTGTGAGTGTGTGTGTCCATCACTTGTGTTCTTTGAGTTTCTCTTAACACACTCCACTGCTGCAGTGTAGGCTGTGTTCGAACTTCGATGGGTCATCATAAAAGTATTGACTGTCTTGAAAATGAAGCGGGCTTGAAGCCGAAGTTACCGTGCTTAAAGGCGTGTATTTTATATAGCAAAAATTCGGTAAGAGCTGTTTAGCGTGCTTGAGTCCGAAACGTGCTTTAAGCCAGCACGGACTGTAGTAGAGGGTTTTATGGCGCTTGCAACTGCATAAGGTCATATGAGCGCCAAGGAGTGGGTGTCAACAGAGAAGTCTTTACAGGGAATCAGACTGAGACTGCTCACCTCTCTAGCTTCAACAGCACAAGGTTTGCTTCGAATATCAAAGCACCCCAAAATAGCAAGTCACAAGAGAAAGACAAACAAACATACAAAAGTAGTAGAGGAAAATGACAATAGTAAGGATCAGGAAAGAAAAGCAGCAGTTCCCTGTTGTAGATCAGGCACAGTTATGAGCCTGACATGAGTCAGCCCATTTACAATTCTACTATGCTTGAACGAGAAATGTCCCCCCTTTGGGAATGGCCTAAAGACACTAACGACAGTCAGTGGCACTGCCCCGGGGGGTTGCGTAAATCTAAAAAATAAAATGAGCTCAGTTTTAAGTATACAGTATAAAGTATAACACGGGTAGGTCGAACATAGAAGACTTGAAATCACGCATCCATCGCACTGTGCCTGCGGCCCCGGTTTTTTTTTTTCCATCTTTATCTTTGTAAGATATTCCTCAAACTCTCGAGGCTTTTCCCGATGAATTCAAGCTATCCGTGTTATTATGCTGTATTAAGGTTCAGGAATGGACGAGGAGCCAAGCTGCCAGCAGCATAGTCCAGAGTCGTAGAAGAAGAGGGGGGGTAGGGTGTCACTAGGGGACCTGGTTCTTCATGACATTGCCATTAACATCAAAAACTAAAACTGAAGTCGTTTTAGAAGAATTTTCCTCTCTTTATTGAGAACTTCCACACGCAGACCGCCAGTCAGCAAGACACGGAGAAGTGACTGGAGTTCAGTGTAACAATTCCCATCAAGCGAAAACATCACAAAGTGTACAGACAAACCCACCAAATCACTTCTGAAACATGACACGACATAACACACACGCGCGCGCACACACACATACGCAAACAGACACTTGTTCGATACAACAGCCAAACACAAGAACAGTCTTCTGTCTACAGAAAGAAAGTGTGCACATTTGTTAAGTTTCTTTTTTCTTTCAACCATGCAAACTCGAGGTACAGGCAGCTTCTAGACCTAATGCGACAAAGTCACACGTATGCTTTAAACTCAATCAAAGATATACACACTTTAAACTCAATCAAAGTCACACGCAAGCTTTAAACTCAATCAAAGACACATGCATGCTTTAAAATCAATCAAAGACACACACGCTTTAAACTCAATCAAAGATACACACACTTTAAACTCAATCAAAGATACACACGCTTTAAACTCAATCAAAGTCACACACACGCTTTAAACTCAATCAAAGTCACACGCAAGCTTTAAACTCAATCAAAGACACACGCATGCTTTAAACACGTAAAGACACATACACATGCTTAAAAAAACACAGTCAAAGACAAACATGCGGACTCGTGAACACACAGGCCTATAATATTCATTCAAAAAAATAAACTAATCTCACAAACTGACAAGAAATCTAAATCTTTGACAGATGGAAACAAATCTCCCAAGGGAACAGAGTGTGTGAATCATATGTATGTATCTGTGTGCATGAGGGTTTTTATCACTAAAAATAATGCAAGTGCAAGACCACAGACCAGAACCCTCCCCCCCAAAACTCATCCTTATGTCCCTACAATCTCAACAACTTTCTTTGCAAAACTGCTACAAGTATACCAAAATCAAATAACTTTCTTGGCAAAACTTCTACACCAAATAACTTTCTTGGCAAAACTGCTACACCAAATTTCTACGACACGACAAATACTTAGTGCTGCTCTCAGGAGCTGCACTGTGTCCAGGGAAAAGAAGACTGCGACTGATCAGAACACACTGACCAACAATATCATCATCGATTTACAGTACAGCAGTCCAGCACACACATAGCAAACAGTTTTCGGGTCCCAAATTTTTTCCTTTTCTTTTTATCATATGTGTCTATTCTTCATTAAGTCATTAAGACACAAACATACACGGCAAAATTCGTACATATGCTCGTAACAAAACAAACATTTCCGTATCCCGCCAATTTTGCTATGTGCATGCTAGATTGTAAGTTGAATCCACAAAACAGTCTTGGAGTTGGAGATAAAGTAAGAAGGTAGAAATCTGTCTCGTGATGGTGGTACCATTATCTTTCAAAATAACCAGTACAAGAAAAGTAAGAGTGTGTTCTGGTGAGACAGAAATGTGTATGCCCAAGTGGGCCTACATTCTAACACATGGAGACGAATACAGACAAACTCATCCACGGCTCAACACAAGATTCTAACATTACTAACATATATATATATGCCAATTTTTGCAAAAATCACTTCTTTTTTTTTTTTTAAACATAATCGATAATTGCATCGCCAAACACATTGTGTCAAAAGATGAGCTCTCTGGGATTACTGCATACGAAGTTGATGCAGAGTTATTTATTATCTATTATCATTTTTACACTGCAAAAGTTTGAATTTCATAAAACTGGATGATAAAGTAATAAATTTTGCTTCTCCTGAACAATTTCCTAAATGGCTTTTGGTTGAGTCTTACACCCAAGGAGGCGATATATCATATACACATGTACCAGTAAAGGTGAATACATGTATATATATGAACACACATCTACACATGCAGATGAGATACACACGCTCTAAAAAATAGTTTTGAGTGTGCACATTCATTCTGACAAAGTAGTTTACACATTCATCCCCATGCGAATACACTTTAGTGGACCATACAAGACCACCTTTTCACACACAGCACACAAGAAACACAGACACACATAAATACAAATGTGGACACTCATTCATACAAACAAAGCGCACACACAAACGCACACACAAAGACAGTTGTATCCTTTAACAGACACACATTTATAGACAAAGCTCACATAAACGCTAAACACACATACGCACACACGCACAAATCACATGCTTGACTAAACACGGGCTCATATACAAACGCACTCTCTCTCACACACACAGACACACACACACACACAAATATGCAAAGAGAAATTATATACACACACACAAACACATGTGAGGACGCACACTTGTACGCAGATGAGGATCAGTACAAAGGAACGGTATGTTACAACAATCTCCAGCTATGTACAAAAGCCATAGTATCAGTAGCATCAGTATCATCCATCATTTTAAAACTGGGTTTTACAAATCATCATTTAATCATATAATTGTAATAGAATAATTAAAGGAAATAATTTTTGTTACCATCATTAAAATTATCTGAGGAATATTTACATGACAACAATGGTAGGATGAACTAGTGGGCACAATAGAACCGCCATGCATTTGTACAGAACAAAATAAACACCAAAACAAAAGTGCAACGTTCCATACCTCCGGATCTGAACTCTGCACAAAATTGTAATCCCTACAACATTTACAACAAAAAAAAACAACAACCCACAAACAAACAAATAACAAACCCAGTATCATTTCCTCTTAAGCAAGAAGATCAGAACGGGGAAAAAAAAAAAAAAAAAAAAAAAAAGAACAAATATTAAACAAACTACCACCAACAAAAACTACAACAACAAAAAAAAATCTAGGGAGAAACTCCCGTGGTTGGCCTTTAAAGCTGGAAAAATCTGGGCTTTCGTGACGTCTGAGTGGCCTATCCTATGGGGAACCTCAGCACCTGCTCCACCGCCAGTGTAACATGACCGAGGGACGGTGTTTGCCGGTTTGGCCAGCGATGAGAGGAAGGATGTGGTGTTTGTGATATCGCGACATGATTTGGCTGGCATTTAAGAGAGGGGGTAGAGA